GCCGAGCCAGTATGAATTTTTCTGAGTTGTGGCATCATCATGTTTCCATGAGTGCGAGGACCTGCCAGGTGAGGCGCATGCGCCACAGCCACCTGTTGCACTGGGTGCAACAGGTCTGAATCTGAATTTGGGTCGTGCCACTTGCAAGGAAGAAAAAATGTAGAATGTTCAAACGATGAAATATAGTTAAATGAGATAATTTAATCACTATCGCAGTTGTGACTTTCTTCAAGTACCTCATCGCGATCAGAGTAATTTCCAATCAATTTCTTGACCAAACTCGTTTTCGTCTTCAGATTCAGCATGAGAGAATTCCCGTATAACTGCAGCGAAGCCATGCGCTGTTTCCTCGGCCCGTTCACTTTCACAGCACAAAAGTTCCACGGCAGATCGCGAAAGTCATGAATGAATCTCAACTTCCCATTATTGTGGGCTGGGGTCACTTTGAAAATGGGGAGTCTCGGGAGTCCACATGCCTCTGCCAGCAGCTTCCGGAAGCACAGTGAAGACCTCCCATCAGGGAGGCTGGACGCGTCGCATTGGCTCGGATAATCTGGATGTCCTCGAATATTCGGGCCTTTCAGACGGCATTTCCAGCACAGAGCTGAACATCCACCCTATTCGCCAAATCTCCGTGTGATTCCTGTTCCATAGTCTGAAAATGCATCCGAAATGTCGAATATTTGAAGACATCCAGACTATCCAAACGAATGCGGCGCGTGAACTTCTGGCCATTCCAATAGAGGACTTCATGCTGTGCTTCCAGAAGCTGCTGGCAGAGGTGTGTGGACTCCCAAGGGGACTACTTTCAATGTGACCCCAGCCCACAAAAAATGGCAAGTCGTGTCCTAAAACTTTTGGATCGAACCTTGTATAATGTCATAAGTATCCAAGCATGCAAGATGTGTGTCGAAGCTCAGCTTCAAGCGAAGTCATGTGATCACAGCAGGTCAAAGGGCGTTGAATACTTAGACAAAGGAAAAATAAAAAATGCACAAACTCTAAATTGCCAAATGAGTGGAGCTAAGTGCATTTAAAAACAGTGAGCAGGCAAAATAAATGCTTTGGTAGTTCTAGTGTGAAGAAGCATACATCTTCAAGGGGCACAGAAATAATCTCTTCCAGGTAAGAAAACAATGGCTTCAATTTTTCACTACAGGGCAACAAAAATGAGAAAAACAGAATGGATAGGTTTCATCAGAGTTGTCCCTTTTGAAAAGGAATTGCAAAGAATAAACTCAGAATTCACAGGGTTACTAACTCTAAGTCATGTCTTTATTAAACCATCACCTCTCAAACATATTTGTATCATAATACTTTTCAGATATGTCATACCACATAGTCACATTCAAAGCCCCTAAATATTAAAGCACATCGACATTCCAAGAACAAAGCTTCTCCGTTGAGATGAGTCGAGGCGGGATGGATATGCAGCGATTCAAGGCAGACCTGATATGTCGTTTTCTTTCGCTACCCCTCTGAGAGTTGTAAACGTAAAAGGGAACTATACTACATCACAGAAAGGACGAATGCTCATCGCCGCCTGGTGCGGTGAGACAATTTGCAATCGGGAATGTAACCGGGAATGGCACAAGATGCTTCATCGTATGAAGATTTTGACACCTGCGTATATAATCTATAAAATAAAGTCATATATACCATTAAAAAACTTCATATTTGGAAACTCTGAATTCAGAAAGCTTGGGTTTGGAATGGTGTTCTTAGTATTCACATCACAGCAAGCAGATATGTAGCGATTTTTGTCAGAAACACTCGACAACACTTCTACCGGCCTGTGCCGCTCCATCTGGCATCTAGTTGCATCGCTTCTAAAAACCCTGAGAGTATATGTCAAAGGATCGATAGGAGATTCTTTGGATATGAGTCTCCTTGACTAGAGATTCTAAGCTTTTCGGCAAGAAATGTGGGGATGAGCTCCCCATTCAAAACAGAAAGGGCGAATGCAGAGATGTCATTGAGATGAGGTGGGCAAAAACCAACCAAACATGCTGAAATCACAAAAGAATCAAGATTCAAAATAGGAATTCAAAGAATCCCGTTATTTGGAAGCACCCAAGATGAGACTCTGCAGGCATGTTCGAAGTATTATTTTTTGTGCGAAGAGCAGCATTGCATAGAGGTGAATACAATGGTTCAAAACCAAGAAAACCCTGTATAGGATATTACAATTCAGTAACAGCTTAGTACATGGGTAATCCACAGTGAACATCTGGGGTGCCCACTCTTGGATGGAGATGCCATGAGTGAGAAATCCCAATCCCCCATCCAATTATTATTGATTCTCTGCCCTCATCAAGTGCCCCACCTTCCATATTTGTATCCATCTCTCACCTCATATTTTTGAACTAACAAGAAAAGCCATCTGAAAACACAATATCAAAGGACCTAACATTAAATGAGTCCTTGATGCCACCAGACAACAAACAACTGCAAGGAGTGGCAACTTCGCTGACATCCCTGCATTCTTCTGCCCTGAAGCAACAAAAAAAAAGACATCAACCACAAAAACCATTATTGCACCCGAAAGGACAGGTCTCGCAAGATCGGCTGTTGATCGGAGGGCTCCAGAGTGCCTGGAAGGAAAAAACCCCCTCACTTCCAGGCTTTGTTGAAGAACTCCATGAAGGAGTCATAGATCATGAAGGTGATGCCCACGTCCATGCACACCCGACCCATGCGAGGCAGCGTCCCCTTGTAGAACCTGATAAAAGAAGGCAGAGCTGACGAGTTGGGCCAACTTTTGACAATGGAGTGGGAAGTCAGCAAGGAAACCCACTACACTCAAGATAACATCTCATGGACAAAAGGACTAATTTAGAATACAAATCTCTGAATAGGAAAATTATGCTTTTATCCTTAACATAATCATCCCAGAAATAAAATGTGTTTGAACTCTTGGCAACAAGTTGAACTGACTGAATGAGGGATTATGTAGTGAAAAATAATGCAGAGAAAAAAAGGAGGTGGTCCGAGAACTATACATGATGAATGATCAATGTATTCTGAGAGTTCTTTGTACCTGGAAATTCACACTCTTAGAATTGTTTTCTATCTTTCTCCTATGTAAGGAAAATTCACATTATGTTTTTGAAGAAGCAAGGAAGATTTGGGAAAGAGATCTTCCCACATCATGTTTCATTTCCAAGCCTTAAATATTTAGTTCAACAGTGTCTTTTCAACTCGCTTCCCAGACAATCGCCGATCAAGAACAACAACAACGTGGATTCCCACTCACGCAGTCGGTCCCTCATGCTTCCAGATCTGGATGGCGCAGTCCACCGAATTCCGATACTTCTTCGCTTCCAGTCCCTTCACATGAAAGAAAGGACAATAATTAATCGAAGGCATCACCACTGACTATACCATAGCCCTAGTATGACGACGGGCAAGGAGGCGGAACACTTTCAATCATTTTGGAAATGGTCAAGACAAACATCAGAATAAAGTCAACCAGCCTACAGGTGCATGAACTGGCATGATGATGTTGAAATTGGGGCAATATATGGGAAATGCACATGCAGACGACTCAAAATCTCCTATCCTGATGTACCTATACCAATATTCAGTCCGGTTCCAATCAAAGCATTTCAGAATCAAGTTAGTTCAAAATTTCCCACAATGCCATGCTCCATTGGATCCCATTTAAAGCTGAGTCATTGATCACATCAACTTGAAAACCTTTCCAATAAAAAGCAAAATAAGGCCAAAACAGAGACCATGAACCAACGATATCCAATGCAATTGAAAATGCACTTCCATTAGGAAATCATCAAGGAGATAAGAATCCTAAGAGAAAACTTTCATAAAAGAGATGACATGTGAAGCCCAGAAAAGCATTTCAAGTATTTAGAAGAAATGTTTCTGAAAATCAATTCCTGTCTCCTTGGGGGCAATTCCCATTTCTACAAATAACACATTTTTTTAAAACTCAGTACACATTACAGATCAAGAAGAATGAAAGTGTTCAAACAGGAAGGTTCATTACCACACATTGCTGTTATTGCACATAATGGATTGTTTGAAGCTAGTACATGGACTTTTCCCCAATCACCAGAGGCAAACTGAAAATCAGTCCCAACAAGGAATAATAACAACGGAAAGGCACTACACCGCAATACTCGTGACTTCACATGGCGAGAAAAAAAAACTTTAAATTATATTTTAGACACACAAAATTAGACTACACACAGCCTATATTTCATGACCCTCTCTCAATCCAAAGTCACAATGAATGAGCAAAGGCTTCAGACCTGCATGCGAGTCTTGACCACGTCGATGGGCGTGTTCCCGAAGACGGAGACGGCACCAGCCACGACGCCGAACGCCCCGGTGAGGAGCTTGTTGACGGGTTTGTTGGGGTCCCCGCCGCGCCACCAGTCCTTGAGGGTCTCCATGACGAAGAAGCGTATCGCCTGGTTGCTGCCCTGCTTCGCGATCGTCGGTGTCAGGCCCTGGTATGTTCCCCGCAGGCCTGCAATGGCAGGACATCAGTGTCTTCACCTTCAGTGGAACTCACGATTGACAACACGAAATGATACCAGTGCATTTACCTATACTTTAATGCTATTGCACAATGTTACTTAAGGCCACAGGATATGAGAAGTTCAGAATGCCCACTCATTGCAGTGGCAGTCTTATTCTTTTGCTTCCTGTAAATGGGCCTGTCTTCAAGAAAAGCCTGAATGTCTGAGAAATGAGAACTACTACACCTTCCATTGTGTAGGTTTCATCATAAGGCACAGAAACAGTAAAACTTATTCAATAAAAGAAAACCTCTTCATCCCTTTCAGAAATAGCTATGCTTCAAGAGGAAAGATTAGCAGGAAAAAAGGAATGAACAACCTTCAAAGAAAGGAACCTTTCTTTCTTCTGGATTTGGTCAAAGCAAGAAATTTGACTTCCAAAATCAGCTATGGACATTCCAGGAACCATATTGACTTACAATCACAAATTCTGCATGAATAATCTACACTTAACATAATGAAAGCAGGAATACATACATTCAGCCTTCCACTGGGCATCATGTGTTTCAAATCAGTTCCACATTCCAAATAGCTCATTGAGATCCCCTTATTGCAAAACAAAAAAAACTTATTACCCTGATAGAGTTAGATTAACTTCAGATGCTTTAGATTTGCCCCCTCCTATTCTTAATGTCAGAGAAGATTACAATTAGGTGGCCATCAGCGGAATAAATAATTTCTCCAACGGGAAAAGAGTGGGTCAGGGTATGACCTTGCTGCCTGACGATGGTCGAGACGCCGTGGAAGAAGCCTCGGAACTGGGGGTTTGCAGACGTGCGGTCGTGGATGAACTTCACCTTAACTGTCTCCATGGGGGTCACGACGAAGATGGCCTCGGCCACCCCGGCCCCAAGGCCGCAGAGGAGTCGTTTGTGAGGGGCCAGGTTCCCTCGTTCGTCGACGTTCATCTTCTTCAGTTCCTCAAATGCACCAAACCTGTCCCCAACAAAATCAGGTCATGTTTTCTCACTGGCTGATTGTAAGTTGGGTGCCTGGAATGCATTCAGATACACTATTGATCTGCGGCCATAATCATTTGTGTTTCCTCGGTGCAGAATGGGAAGCCATGGTTCCTCATGACACTAAAGTTTGTCACTGATACTATTGCATATAGTAGAGATGCAACTAAGACTTGTCTTCATCTTCTCACTTCAATATCCAAGACTATCTTTGCTTCATGTCAAGCCTGAAGTAAATCAGAACTCTTGATTGCATTCCTCAGTGCTGAAGCTTCAATTCAGACATGAAAAAAAGGAGAACAAAATGAAACCAAAATGTTACCATTATAGCTTAACACAAACCATCTGCTTCCACTGACCCCACAAGGGGAAAATACCTCATCATATTAATGGAATATTGAAGACCTCATGGTGTGATCCAATGAGTTTCTCTGCACTTCGATTTGTTTCATCCTCAGGTAAGCACTGATTTTGAAGACAAAAGATTCAGACCTGACGGCAGACTTGGGAATGGATCCGTAGAGAAGGACCGAGAGGCCCCGGTAGAGACCGAGGATCCCGTAGCCCCTGACGGTCTTTCGCACGCAGTCGACGATCCCATTGTAGCGTTTCACCTCGCCCCTCTTCTCGTCGAGCTGCAGCTGGGTCTTCACGTATTCGGTCGGGAAAGTGATGCAGATCTCGATTCCCCCGGTGATGCCACCTGGGCCAAATGTACCATGCAATCATAACCATGCACAGCCACAGGTCAAGCTTCTGATGTCCAAGGATCCACCTCAAATATCACATTGTCATATCAATTCCACCCAAGACAATGAAAAAATAGCACAACATGGGCTGACATCTAGGCCTATTCCAGCCTTCCATGTTGCATTGGGCCCTACATTGGTACATGCCTGGTGCAAGACCTCTGAAAGTGTGGAACCATTAATACATTGATTGACCAGTGCTTGACATTATGAAGTGATCCCAATCTAAACTGGTAGAGGGCCTGGTTGCCAATTCCTTTTGAACCTATTTGGCAAGAGTTCCAATGAGATCATTAATCAATAGGTCTCAGCTCCAACTAAGCATGCCTGCTCCTATAAGTCCCTGGCTGCAACTACGATCAATAGGCCTTTGCCTATCCCAATCCATAGGTGGTGGTCACTGACTGTGGCACTAGGCCTATGTCGAAAAGGCGAAGTCGTTCAAAGGAACGAACAAAGGTTCAAAGGTTCGAAGAACGAACCTGCAACGATTCCCTTGAGGCCTTTGCTGGTCGAGCCTGGGGTCGCAGCCGCGGAATTCCCCCTCATCCATGGCCGATGGAAGGGATTCACGAAGGATCGCTTTCGGTCCATGGAAGGATCCCCGCCTGGGCAGGCACGACGGACCGAGACTCTCCCTTCACTGCATCACCTTCACCACACGACGGGGCCAGCGTGACTGGCACAGGGGAGAAGGTCTTCGATCCATCCTCCCGACTCCCGACCAATCAGAATCGCTCTTGCTGTGACGTCATTCAACGGCACCTCGATTACACGTGCGTCTCACGTGTGTCATGTGCCACGCTGATTATTTTATGTCTGACGGCAAAGAAAATACGTTCACAACACGTTAGGGGCTCGTCTCAGAATAAAAAATTCAACAGTAAATGACAGCTGAGTATACCCCACGGTAAATCCCGTTCGTGCGCATCGTAATCAAGTGGAAGAAAAAAAAAAGGCGAAAAGGTGACTTCTCTGTAGTCTGCTTGAGTTTCCTTTAGCATTTCTTGAGCATGATCTGCATCCAATAACCAGTCCTGCAGCTTCGCCGGAAGACATAAAGCAACTTGCAAGTTGACTTTCGAGATGGATGCAATGTTTCCGGTTTGGAACTGAATTCGTCATGACGGGGAATTAAGCCTCCCGCCATGCGGGCCTGGAAATGGAACTGTCCTGGTAAAAGATGTATTTTTCCCAGGTTTTTTTCCCCTCGCCGACGGAGTCATGCGGTGAACGTCACTTTCGGCACTTCGAGGAATCATTAATCCGAGACTCGCCCTAACCGGCGGGAACGGCTCTCTGCTGACGCCTCCGTCTGAATGAAGCGGTTTTGACAGAACGCCGGTCGTCTTCGCAATTTGAGTCCCTCGCTTCCTGTCACCCGTATTCTCAGGATTCTCTCGCAAGTCGAGCTAATGGGCTTTCCTCATCAGAAGCGAGTGTCGGATCGCATGCCTTCCTTCAAGGTCCGATGAGAGTCATGCATGCAGCGTTGTGACGTCAACTGCGACGTCATTGAGGAGAAGAGCACCACGAAATTTCCGGAGTGGAGCAGATCCGAGAGGATCCCGACGAATGACGTCATCAGACGTGACGCGCATTCGAATGAGGCCGAAGAACATCATCCTGTTTCGCGCGCTTTGGCCCCCGGGGGAAGGAATTCGCGTTTTTTCCATCACTCTCGGGGATCCAGCCGCGTGTTTCCACTCGGGACTGGTGAAAAAGAATTTTCCAAGATGGACCCGAATTCATGGTGCACGACTATCTGCGCTTGGCAAGTCCGTCTTTATTCCAACTAACACATAAATAAAATCATAATCGAAAACGATTGAATTCCAGTCTGATGAGGGCAACGGAGAATATTGACGTGAGCGTATTCAAGAACATCCGACGTTAAAATTCACCAAATTTCCGAAAAAAATCACTCACGGTCATTCCCTTCAGACAGATATCGTATCCCTCAAGGAGAGCCGGCGAAACAGAAAAAGAAACAATTTGAAGGATCTGTATGACCCTATGGAAATGGGTATAGAAGCGTGAGAGAGGGTCTAATGAAACATATTCGTTTCAGAAAGCAGGAAAAAAAGCGGATTGCTGGAGCTTTCGCGTAAAGGTGGGCATGGTATGGGAACCTAGGAAACAAATCCGTTGCTATAGCAGAGCCACGTTTCCAATCTTTTCGAGTCGGATCCGAGCACGCCATCATTAGAAATTCATTTTCCAAAATCATTAGTTTCGAAGCGATCCGAATTTTTGTTGAATGATGAAGGACATATTTCTTGAAGGTCAATATTCACCATGGTCGCTTAAAGGTCTGCCTTGGCATCACTAATCTCTCCTTCGAGCATGATAGACGCGGTTTTCTTCTCGCGGAAATGGGAACACGACCACCGCCGCACGGCATTTCTTCCATTCACCGACCGACGACGGACGGAGACTCTCTTCCCCTCGCGGCATCGCTTCCATCGCACGACGGAGCCGACCTGAGGGGCACAGGGGAGGAGGAGGTCTTCCATCGGCCGACCAATAAGAATGACGCTTGCTGTGACGTCATTCAACGGCACCTTGACTGCACGTGCGTCTCAGGTGTGTCATGTGACACGCTGATTACTTTATGTCTGACGGCGAAGAAAATACGTTCGACGACAACCATTAGTGGCCGGTCTCAGCCTGAATATTTCAACAATAAACGACAGCTGAGTTTACACTCATCGGACACTCGTAGTCGCGGAAAATACTGCTCGTGTGATTCAAGATTCAAGATAGTGATATCGAGAGGCGATTTCACCCATTTCGATATCACATGTCGAGGTCGAGCGTTCCTTAATTTTAGGGTATGCCTAACCCTCTAAAGGCTAAATATTTTTGTATTATTATTTTTTGTTTTGTTTTTTGACTATCCTAGTTGCTTACTGTCTAGTACCTAACGTTAACATTGCCCCCCAACTTTTTGCCTGTCCTTGAAGGCATCCAGTTTCTTCTTAAAGATAGTCACACCGCGGGGTAGCCACTACTTCGTCATCAAACGCATTCCACGCGTTCACCACTCTGCAAGTAAAAAATTCCTGTCTCGACCTGAGCCTGATCCTATCCCTAATGTGTTCGATCCTAGCACCTAGAAATCTCCTATGGAGTGGGATCACAAATTCAATCAGCAATGTAGAGTGCATTTCGTTACTAGGGGTCCATGAAACCAGAGGACCTAAGCTTCTCGTGCAGAGAGCAGCAGCGCCATCTTTAAAGGCTCCCTTCTCGCGACTGCACCGCAGAGTTTGAATGTCTAACGCAAATGACTGCATTTTTTTTAACCTGATCGGGACGGCATCTGGAACGAGCAATGTCAATATAGCTGAAGAAGCGCAGACAGTACATTCTTGGGACTTTACACAGAAATCCCCTGGGACCTTCTGCATAAAACGCTGGTGGATCTGTTCAGAGAATTGTTGCCCATGGGCTGTAGTTACATCGGTGTAGAATTCTTTTTAAATATCCTTAAAACGAGCTAACAGAGTGATTTTATTCTCAAGGGCAATACGGTGTTTCGCTCGTCGGTCTGCTGGATGGCCTGCTTCCACTCTGTGGGACTAGGGCTAGCCTCTGAGTCGTAGGCTTGGGTTAGTCCATGGTCGAGGACAGATTTCAGAGAATGGCCATAGGCCATTCGCCTTCTATGGTCGACTGTGCCTCTCCTCTTCCATTGCCTTATTCCCTTTCTTATTTTTTTTTCTGTCGATCAGGGGACAGTTAAGACAGTTGGGTGTTGCTTTGTCTCCACAGGCTCGGATGACAACAGGTGATCCAAATTACCCAGTGAATTCTCCTAATTTTGGTGGAATTTTCTCTTTCTCCACTCTTTTCTCATCGAACCATGGGTTGTGGATAGATCTTTAGGGCACAGATTCAACTTGAGCTTTATTTTTTCATTGCTGTCGGTTAGACGCTGTCTGTTCTCCTGAGCATCATCAATTCCATTTTCACAGGATACTTTGCACTGGTGTGCGCACAGGGTGTCCACTTCCTATGGGGGTCGTATCAGCGTGGCCAAAAACTAGGGCTTAAGTGGATAAAAACTGGGGTGTTTACCCTATTCCTCGTGAGGAAATTCCACACCCAGCCAAGTCCACACGGGCGGACCACATGCATTCCACACGTGTGGAGAGGGTGTGAATTTTTTTTTTTTTAGAAGGTATGGCCATCAAATTAATGTTGACAAGTTATTCCAGTTTTTCATCATCATCCTAGTTTAGCTTAAAGTCAGGGTTCAGTACTGGCTAGTCATTACACACCCTCGGACTGGATACCATCACCTACACGTGATTTCAGCCGTACTGGTGGCTATTAGGTGCCTAGGGCAATTTCGGAAAATCTCACAAGGTCTCATCTTCCACGAAAAAATTACTTAAAACGGCCTCTACACTCAACGACGACAGGAGTGGCAGTCCTGTCCTCGGACTCCCTAGATAAACAACCGATTTCTCGCCAGACCAACCAGAGCAATCCGGCCTTCCGCGATCCAGGCAAAGTTAACGTCGACGACACAACGTCGGGCAGCAGAAAAAGATCATGCAGACAAATCAGAACAATAACACGCCATCGAGAATAGGTGCAGGGGACAGTTCCCCGGCCGCGAAATCGCCCACTTAGTCCATATTGGGTTCCCTCTACCACTATCATGCGGACTGTGGAAATGGTCCTTGTCGGAACGATGAATAGTGCATTGAAACTAGGAACGTTCAGTAGAGATCGCTTCATCGAAGCATGCGAAAGGAAATCGCTGACGCGAAAATGGACGGGGATTCGGAGCAAGGAGAAGAAAGGGTAGACCAGCTCGTTTCCATTGGCAGTTCGCGCTAGAGCTAGCAGTATGGAATCTACACGCTCTTTTTATTTTATTTTTTTTTTAACCATTGTGGATCATTCACGAACGTCTCGGCACGGCGGTGGATGATGCTAGGGGCATTGCTGAATACAGACTCAAAGACAGTACGATGAGAATCACCGAGACTTTCCGAGCATCATCTGCGGAAATGGAGAAGAAAATCCATCGTTAAAGGTTAATACGTGACGCGAGAGGCACTACCTCGCGTCGGTCGAGGAAACACACAGCCTTTGACTTTGGTTGGAAATTTTAGGGAAAACACGAATACAACGCTAGACAATCGGGAGACACAATCATGTACACTTGGTACAGATCTAGGGAATATTGCACACAAAATTGTCTTGGAGGGGTAAGAGCGAGAGGTCTCATCGGAAAATCTGCAATTTCTGGATCAGACAGCTTATTAATCGCTATTAATGCAATTAACTATAATAGCTTCCGATGTGTTGCATTCGATCGAGGGGACGTTTTACCCCTTCCAAGTTTCAAGGGGCCATATTCCTAACGGCCGTCTGACGTACTGTAGATTGCAGGCATTTTGGACTGCCGTAGCCTCGCAATCCCAAGCACACGTGATTTTAGCATAGCATTAGCATTGAGCATGATCCGAGTCGGTGCAGCAATCGGCTTGGAACCACGTGATATGGAATGACACTGCCTTGAAATGAATCGAATGGTGACATTTGATTTCCTTAGGCAGTATATTTACATGTTCGCAAGATGTTTTCATTCGAAAATTGCACTAAGGCGGCATCAGTGTTGAAAGAAACCATCACTTTTCAAATTTCCATTGAAGCAAAAGGGAAATTAATTGTTAAATAATTAATTTCACGGAAGGAAATTGATAAAATAGGAAATGGATCTCAAATGGTCATGACTTGCCAAACATCTACTGTCTACCACATGAAGGTCAAAATTGAAGGAGAGTGAGAACAAATTCCACAGGTCGCTCGTCGGATTCACAAGCCGCTGAAGACCCCCGCGACCTTCAACCGGCTGAGGAACTCGTCCCGGAGGACGTAGGCGAAGATCATGACCCTGCGCCCGTCGAACGCCTTCCGCGCGTGGAGGACCCTGAAGTTGTCGATGAAGAGCGTCGTCCCCGGCTGGAGCTTGATCTGGAATTCGCGGGAGGGTTCCGTGATGGCGCGGCCCAGCTTCTGGTAGGCCGAGTAGACTTCGTACACTTTGTCGGTCTCGATTGTCGACATTTCGGCTCGGTCGTAGGCGTTGTATCTGAAATCGAGTCGGTCATGCTGAATATGCCTCCTCGTTTTGCAAATATCCATATGCATAATTACTCGTGTTCTTGAAGAACCGATTCAAAGATTTACAAAGTTGGAGTTCATTAATATACCAGATGCGATTTCGGCCGGATGCAGCATATCCTGCAGGTTACACGTGGTTCGAAACTGCATAGGCGAGCTATCTATCCCTTTTTCGCGCAGTCTTTTTCATCGGCTCCTTTCTTCGTCCCCTGCCATCTCCGATCNGGAGTTCATTAATATACCAGATGCGATTTCGGCCGGATGCAGCATATCCTGCAGGTTACACGTGGTTCGAAACTGCATAGGCGAGCTATCTATCCCTTTTTCGCGCAGTCTTTTTCATCGGCTCCTTTCTTCGTCCCCTGCCATCTCCGATCTAACGGTTGCGAGGCAGGCATTTGGAAAGACATGGTTGTTTCTCCCACTTGAAGAAAAGACACAGATTGGCATTTTTATTTACAGCATTACGAGGTAGGGGAAGGAACTCGTCAAGTGAAGATGTAATGCCTGCGTCTATCTCTAAGAAGATATTACATGATTCTTGCACGAAGTAATTCAGGGGAGGAGTAACCTTTCCGAGATTAGGCAGTGGGTGGACATGCCTCGACAAAATATCTACTCTCTTACATATGAACTGTCAACCTCGTGACGAGACTTCATGATAAACGAAAATTCATTTTTCATGTTCCTAGTCGAACATTGAACCTTAGAAGGACCGGATCACGGATAATGAGAGAGCATGATAAATCACAAATGTTGATCATACTCCAGGCTTGGAAATTGTACATATGCAGGCATATGACTTTACACTACGGTCCAGAGCATCTTTCGTGGCGGAGGCAAGCAAAGAACTGTTTTCGCATTCATTGAGAGAGATTATTGCATTAGGTCTACAGGGTGTCCCAAAAAATGTCTTCCATTTTGAATATCCATGAAAATTATAGTTTTCAACACATTAAAGTAATTATTTCAATGCAATTTAAAATTATACATAGAATTTTATTTCTTAAAACGACATGGACATGTGTTACATATTGCACACTCAATTTCAGCATATTCTCGCATTTTCGATCCAGGCACCCAGGCCCTGGATCACTACTGCGACCCGGACATTGAAGTTATTAATTACTCTGTCTGACATTTCTCGCGGAATAAATTCGCCTGATCTCTCTCCGAATGTTGTCGAGCAATGCTCCAAGTGTTCATGGCTATTGGCATGCACTCTCCCTTTCAGGTATCTCCGAAGAAAGTAATCTGGAGGGGACAGATCGGGGGAATATGGCGGCAAAGAAAGTTATCTGCCCCCTCCAGATTACTTAATTTGGGGATAACCTAAGGGGAGAGTGTATGCCAATAGCCATGAAACCCTTGGAGCATCGCTAGACAACATTCGTAGAGATCAGGCGAATTTATTCCGCGAGAAATGTTAGACAGAGTAATTGATAACTTCAATGTCCGGGTCGCAGTAGTGATCCAGGGCCTGGGTGCCTGGATCGAAAATGCCGAGAATATACAGAAATTGAGTGTGCAATATGTAACACATGTTCATGTCGTTTTTGCAAATAAAATTCTATGTATAATTTTAAATTACAGTGAAATAAATAATTTAATGTCTTGAAAAGTATCATTTTCATCGATATTCAAATTTGAATTTTTTTTGGGTCATTCTGTATATCAGCAAGGCCCAGATCTGATGATGGAACTCATTTCCACAAATATTCTTCTATTTAAAATATTCAATTAATTCCATTAAAATGCAGATGTAATCTTTTTTTTTGTGCACAAACTGACCGGATCTGCGTGAGGTGCCCCGTGACCGGATCATGCTTGAAGGTGAAGTCCAAATTGGTAAAGTGGTTTTTTTTCTTCCCACCTTCATCCTCCCGATACTCAGCTGGAAGCGGGACGGAGGAGAGGATATGATAAGCTTCTGGATGCTCCTCGCTCATGTGATTCGCCAGAGCCAGTCCATCCACCAGGATGTTCTCTCCGCCGGTCCCATCGCGGTGCTGGCAATGGAGTATCTGGAGGCTGGGGGAAAGGTGACCCTCGTTTACTTCATGCATTCATCTTTAGCCTTCAATTCATTTTACACCAACAGAACAGTCTCTCCCTCTCTTCAACCCCTTCTAATAATCCGGGCATTCTTTTTCATCGACCGAGTTCCTCCAAGAGACATTTGCCTTCTCTTCTCACGGTCTCGTCCCCATATTCAGTTATTGTGGGAGAAAGCCTCTACCTCATCGGACGTGTCGCAGCTTTCCGGACTTTCCGCCTGCATTTGGTTCTGAAAGGCCACTCGAGCGGTCATTGAATGAGCGTCTCCGTCACCCGTGATCAATGTCTTTTGCTGAATATGACTCTCTTCATTTGTGATTGCTGTTGCTGAACCGCTGCCACGATTATTATGACGACCGAATCCATACTCTCCTTCAAAGCAGACATTATTCTCTGCTCCCTTCCAATAATTAAATGCTATAATCACTCTATGGCTATTTGATCCACCACATCTACGTTACATATACACTAGGAACAGGACACGGTGCTCAACTCACAATTAGCATATTTTATCACGGAATAAACTCTCCCTCGAGTTACGAAGAATAGTTTCCACCCCGCTGCTTGCAATAGGTGGCAAACTGAGAGAAAGGGGCAAAAAGCATAGACTCCTACCCGGCCGGCTGAGTCCAATAGGTGTTGTCGGTGTGAAGCCCGATGTACTCGGATGTGTAGGCCGTGTCTGCGCGCTCCAGGTTGGCCTCGAAGGCGGCGATGTCCCCGAAGGTGGTGTGCATGATGGGCGCCACCGCCTCCACGGCCCTCCGGGTGTCCTCGACCGTCGGCGGCACGTCCACGGCCGCGGCCACGCCGTACACCCACAGCGATTCCAGCAGTTTCTTGGCCGATTCCATCTAGGAGAGACATTTTGA